GAAATATATTCTTCATTTCAACATTAATTTTACCAAAATTGTGGTGAATTGTCGTTCATGAGACTCACTTCGCAGAAAAAATTAATAAATGTTCCGTATATACTCAAATGTTCGTCCTCGGCACCTTATGCTAACATTGTCAAAATGACAGATTAATGTTACATAAGAACATGAAATTTTATAAAATTCGTAAATTTTGAATTGCTATAACTTTTCATTTTCTTGGTCAATTTTCACAAATCAAATTGCAGTTTATAGAAGCAATTAACAAGCTCGCGGTAAAAAAAAAAATCAAATGTAACAGACATTGCGAAGTAACCAAAATTAATAAAATAAAAACTAACACCATAAAACGAATGGCACGCATAGACTAATAATTGACGGCTGTACTCACAATATTGTTGTCACAGTATTCCATTTCTTCTCATCTCCTTCGTAGGTATTTATCATCCAATAAATTGCAGCATATTGACCCTGAGGCATTTGCTGAGGTGGGAATGATAGTGGTGTTGTAAGTAGTCAAATACATTATATTACAACCATTTTAATTATTATTTTTTAATGACCGCTGATATAGGAATGCAATGCAATTTAATTCAATTTTCTCACAAATAAAGTACAAAAAGCAAGTGGTGGGCCTAGATAATACGCTGACTGGAGTTAGGTCCCACAATAAGTATAAACAGAAGTATAAAATATTGAAATTTTTTTATAAATTCCTCCAGTATAATATAATAATCTTGTTTTGCAACAGACTACCACTTATACTTTACCACGCTCCTAGACACCATTGAGACCTAAACCATTTTGGAATAGGTGAATAATAGTGATAAAAACGTTATCCAGTTTGGAAGACTATGGTGCATTATTCCTGTCTCTTATACACATCTAGATGTGTATAAGAGACAGACAGAACGGTATTCTGCCGTATTAATTAGCTAACGAGCGAATTCACAAGCTTGATCTCTAATTTAGCTTAACATACTAATTTCTATAAATTCTAAATTACAAAGTTATGATCACTCGGTATAATTTTTAACCACCATTCACGTTTATTTAACTACATTCAAATTAAAAAACTCACATTATTCACCATTTATTTACGAACGTAAACCATAATCTGCTCGTTGAATTGCAAATTTGAATCCTCGCTGCTTACGCTGCTAATAAGCTGTCTCTTATACACATCTAGATGTGTATAAGAGACAGCCCTTATATGCTTATATACACAGCTGCAGTGCGATATAAAAAGGTACACAGATTATAAAAGGCAGCACTCTGAGACTATCTTTGATGTAATTTATTCAACACAAGCTTTCGCTGGCAGTATACACAGAGCCTCTGTGCATTAAGATCCGTTAACGTCATTATATACACAGCCGTTGTGCGTATAGCCTTGTCCATTATTACAATCATTAAACATACATTTTACTAATTTATTTATCTAATTAAGCTCGATGAAAAGTAACAAGTTTGAGACGATTGAGGAAAACACATTTTCACTGGATGGTTCCAGCGCTTGTTATTTGTAAGTTATATCATCATAATTATGAGGGTTCGATGAATTACCAAAATGGAAGGTAATTAATTACAGTAGAACTCTTTCTTTGGGACAACCTTATTAAGGGGACATGTTTTTTTGGCTGTGAAAAGAGGTAAATGTATCTTTTAACACTGCGGCTAACCCCTATTCAGGGGCACCCCTATTAAGGGAACACTGTGTTCAGTCCCGATGGTGGCCCCTTAATAAAGGGTTCTACTTTACCACAATATAGCGCATTCACCGCATAACAATAACAATGACAATAAATTACCACAATGGAACACAGTACACTAAATCGCCTATTCACTGTATATTCCTATGGATACTTTCTTGAGTATAAATACTTTTCTCTTGTAACGTGGATTATTTTGCTGTAAAGTAAGTACTGTATATTAGTTATATACGGTATATAAAATAGTGATAAGTAATTTTTTTCATATGAGTTAACGTCAGCAGGCGGTTGTGAACTGTCTACACAACCCGACCCTCCATGCACACCGACACTATGCATTGTTATATACTGTATTTATATATATATATATATACATACATATATATCTGTCTCTTATACACATCTAGATGTGTATAAGAGACAGCTCCAGAATTATGAGGTAGTAACAAGTTGTTAAGTACATTACGGTATATTACATCAAATACGCAACGATTTTCAGTCATCATGAGGATGAATTATAGTTTTGTATTTCTGATAGCTCTTAATTGCAGTTGATTAAACTGGTAACTTTAATTTAGATTAAGAATTTGTTTTAAGTAATACGGCTTCATTGTGTTGGTTTCGCTTTTATTACCTTGCTGTAAATACGCTTTGTGGTAATTCGTCGGACCTTCATATGATACAAATTCAGGTTAATTTATCTTGAAAAACAAATTATAAATTGTGTAAAACAAACTAATGATTGTTAACTATTTCAATTCATATTGTATTATTAGGTTTATTATTATTAGGCCTATAATTTATCATATTAATATAATTGTCATTAATACATTTATTGTTCTCGATGGTGTTATGTTAATGGTAATTTTAGCTATTGGATATTCTATTATTATTATTATTATTATTATTAGTAGTAGTAGTAATATTATTTGTTGTAGTTAATATGTAATAGATTTCCTTATATCTTGTTTATTATTATGTTTTACATTTATTTTTTTTAATTTTACAAATTAATAATATAAGTGCCGAGAGTATTGGTTCGTGTTAAGCATAGAAAGCTTGGTGTACACGTCCTTACTCGAAGGTAAACTCATCGGAGATAAAAATGCTAAAATGTTTGATTTGATTTATTCAATATCTCTTAAATTACATACAAACATAGAAAATCTCGTTGACAGACGCAAAATGAGCAAAAAAAAAACAAAACGAAAAAGAGGTATTAGGATAAAACGCTAAGTCCCTTTTAGGGACTTATTTCCAGAGGTGTCCATTGTTGCTAAAACACAATGTAATAGTCCACTGAGTATATGTGAACTAAAATATTATTTTTTTCCTCAGAAATCTAAATGAAGCCGGCATTAAGGAAATTAAAACAGGAAGTTTCAGAAATATTGGAGCCATCTCTAAAGTGTAAGAAATTTTGTTTGGGTGGGAAGGTTGAAAGTAATGATTACTTAAACCACAGTCCTATAAATTGTTATTTTCCATTATTTATCATTTTAATTTTTATTTCCAGAAGTTTAGGTTCTAACTCAATTAGGCACCTTCCACCGAGGTTCATTAATTCAAGTTTTTTATTCCAGTTGTAAGTATTGATATTAAAGTTTATTTTTCCAAAATGTCCAAAAGACAATCAATAGTTAACTGTGGTACACTGTAAGCAATAGAAGAACGCTCTCACGAAAAGGAAGTACACGTGACTCACTCGAAAGCAAAGTTTGTATGCAGTTTATTATTGTATAGCTCGCACGTCTGTGTAAACAAACATATTGTACATAAGCATTAAAATTCAGCTACCGCACTGTTACATTTTTACTCTAAATATTTATCATAGTCAAGTGAATACCGTAAAAACACAAAACATCTTTACATATTTCCAGGGATTGTAAACTTACTGCTTTGCTCAAGTAATTCAAACTATAACAAGTTAGTTGAGCATCCACAGGCTGCAGAGGCAGCATTAACATCTCTAAAATAACTATAATACAATAATTAAACTACTAATTATACTTCAACTTGTAGGCTCAATGTATATTCAAGCATAAACGAAACTTCGTTTTCGGGTCTTCGGTCTTCATATAGGGTGTCTATAAATCTTGAGTCGAATACCTACAGTCATAATATCGGCGCTGGCTGGAAATTCTATCGCCTATGGTTCTGGAGGTAGAACAAGTCTTTTCGGATAAGGACTATAAACCGTAGGCCCAGTGTACACAGTTGGCTCATGTGAACTTCAAAGAACCCTGTACATCTTTCGAGGTGAATAGGGGGGTTACCCCGGCGTACTGGTCCATACTAGCGATTATGTCAAGGGGCGGATACAGAGATGTATAAAAGGGGTGGGGGCCGAAAGTTGGGCCGATCGAGACAAAACTGTCCCAGGGGGTCCAGGGGCATGCCCCCGCGATATTTTTGTGCTCTAGACGCCCGAAAATAACATTTGAGGCATTCTGGGCTATCATTTTTTCTTTTTCTTTTTTCTTTCTTTTTTTTTACCTCTCAAAAATCCGCCCCTGATGTTCACTGTTTGGCATACCCTTGGCTTACTAGTGCCTAAAGCTAAATAAATACAAAAAATATTGTTGTCCCAGTATTCCATTTCTTCTCATCTCCTTCGTAGGTATTTATCATCCAATAAATTGCAGCATATTGACCCTGAGGCATTTGCTGAGGTGGGAATGATAATGTTATTGTAAGTAGTCAAATACATTATATTACAACCATTTTAATAATTTTAATTATTATTTTTAATTATTATTTTTTAATGACCGCTGATATAGGAATGCAATGCAATTTAATTCAATTTTCTCACAAATAAAGTACAAAAAGCAAGTGGTGGGCCTAGATAATACGCTGACTGGAGTTAGGTCCCACAACAAGTATAAACAGAAGTATAAAATATTGAAATTTTTTTATAAATTCCTCCAGTATAATATAATAATCTTGTTTTGCAACAGACTACCACTTATACTTTACCACGCTCCTAGACACCATTGAGACCTAAACCATTTTGGAATAGGTGAATAATAGTGATAAAAACGTTATCCAGTTTGGAAGACTATGGTGCATTATTCCATTGGCTAGCCAAGATCAGCGTACTCTAACACCCCTATAGTTTCTTGATATATTAATATTAGTAATAATAATATTTAAAAATAACAATAAAAATATCAACAACTTGAGCAAACTCCGACAGTGTATATCTCCGCCCATATCACAATTCTCATCTGTGATATAATTACCATTTTTCCATTTAATTGAAGAATGAATACACAATATCAGCCACCGAGATTCGAACCCGGGACATCATAACCAACATTAGCACAATAATTGGCCCACACCCAAATCTGGATCGTCACCAAAATTTAATAATGTCCTTGTAATTTGGTTAACTCTTCAAGTTAAAGTTTAATTCAGTTCAGTTGTTCAGTTTCTGAGAGATCTTAGGTACGTTTCTGTTTTAAATGGTCCTCTTATATCCACATTTTACTCCGGATTTCCTTGGTCCATGACAAAGCATTCTAAAAGGTTTCATTTAGATCCATAGATCAGTTATCTGAGTTTTTGGAATTTATGGTACGTAAGCACTTTAACCCCCCCCCCCTTCCACAAATCTGTATCGTCACAAAAATGTAATGTATGTCTTCCTTGTAACTTGGTTAACTCTTACAAAAAGTTTAATTTAGATCAGTTTCAGTTTTTGAGATGTCATTTTTTTTCCTTAATTATGTTCCCCACATTCACACCCTACTGCGGTCACCAAAATAAAAAAGAATATCCAATTCAATGTCATAGGTCATTATTTGTAAAATTCCGATGCCTGTATACCTAAAACTGTAGGCAGAAGCTGCTGGCAGACAAAAAAAAAAAAAAAAATCGATGAAAATAGAACGTCCTTGCGGAAGAAATAGGGTTAGTTTTTATGATTATTATTATTGTCACAAAAATCAGTAATTGATAATAAGTATAATAATCTGTAAAAACTACAAATGTATTTATATAACTTGCTATATGATATAATAGTGTTGCTATGACAATTAAACCTTCTATTCTAATCCACAGGAGATTGGATAATAACTTATTAAAAGAGATTCCGCTCGCTGTTTATAATCTCAACGTAACGGATTCGTTGTAAGTGTTCTCACCATAAATATTTCGATTCACTGATGCTACAATATTCTACTAGTAAAATACTACGGATTTCCGAATTCACAATTTAAACGCTAACATACACGTCACAACTTACCTGCTTGGCTCTATATACTTCAAAGTATAACGTTTTGTATGCACAAATGCCCAGAACGTTTTGAATGTGTGTTCAAGACGTGAAACTAACTGATTATAAAAACTTAAAAATGTTAATGTCAATTTACACACATATCTTACGTCTTTCGTTGTGATAAAAATAGAAAGCCCAATTTAATAATAATCCCCTGATTAAATACTTATACTAATAATATCGATACTAATAATTACAATGGTATTGTGCAATAATAATAATTATTAAATTATTATTATTATTATTATTATTATTGTTAATATTATTATTTTGCCTACTATTATTATTATTATTATTACTACTACTACTATTACTACTACTACTACTACTAATAATAATAATAATAATAAAAATTTATCATATTATTATTATGAATAATTTAATTAATAGTAACATTTATTACATTTATTTTTACATTATTTCTAGAATAATAAGCATGAACTTTATCGACCTGAGCTCAAATCCCAATAGAAGCATATTTTCCCACTCGCCGCGAAAATTGATTATAGCAAAAAATGAAATACAATCAATTTCAAGAAATTATTTTAGTGGATTAAAATCTCTGGAACAGATGTAAGTTTTGGGTTTTTTATGTTAACAAACTCAGTAGATCAAAAGAAATAAGAACAAGGACGAAAGCGTAGCTGTTGCTAGGCTTTGAACTAGTGTGAAACGCCCTCTTGTTTGAAACCTGACGTTTTGTCTTATTTTCTTTGGTTTCATTCACACACGATCTATGCGTGTTACGTATACAGTAGGTCCAATTTTTAAAAATACGTTCACATAATAATTATGTTTTATCCGTAAATAGGTTCATTTGTGTAAAAAAAAAATATGAGGCCTAACACTGGTTAGATTTTTTAAAAGTATTGGATACGATATTAAATTTAATGAAGTGGTTTCACACGAAGGAAGTGTGCCGCCACTTATTTTCCGCTCCTCTTTCGTCCTGTATGGACCAAAGGAAACAAAGGCTGGAGGGGGGGGGGGGGGGTTGGTGCAGCCGGCCCGGGCTCTACCTAATTTTTTCCAAATTGAAAAAATAAATTAGAAACAAAGAAAATTATATTCAAATTTAAGTCTAAGAATGCCATTTCCGGCCATCTAGAGGTGCCATAATAATTTTTTTTTCTTTTACCAACATTGTTGGGGCTAAGGTTATAACGACCCGCCATCTGTGAAAGTCCCGCTCTGGGCCCCCTCTATTTCTGGATCATGGATCCGCACTGGGAAAAATATATATATTTAAAAAAAAAAAAACATGTTATAAGGCGTAACTTTTTTTTAGTGAAAGCAATATATAATAAAATAAACATTATTATTTATACATGAATGCTGTTTATTTTTATTATTAGACTGATGTATTTAAATTTTTTTTACAACCCTTAAGACTTATTTACCTGAATAAGATATCATATATAGAAGATAAATCTTTCAGTGGAACCAGTCTGACGCACTTGTAAGTACATATTTATTACTGATGCTACAGGCTCATTGGAAATAATACTAATAAAATATTAAAATATAATTTGACTTAAAAAAAACAATGCATAAATAGTAAAGCAATGTTTTCTTACAATTATTTTTTAGATATATCTATGGAAATATTATCCAGAAAATCACAAGCGAAATGTTCGAAATAGACAGCGGTTCACTACAATATATGTAAGTAACATAAAAGAGTAAGTCTCTACATTAAGTATCAGAACCATTCAGTTCCATTAAGTAAGGCATTTTTTTCTTGTAGTTATCTATTTAATAATCCGATTGAAGAAATGGACGAAGGAGCGTTGTCTCATCTGAAACCAAATTCAACAGTGTAAGCATAGTCTAACTATTAGCATGTATCAAAATTCACCAAAATATCGGCCTTCACGTATGTATTATTTTAATGTTGGTTATGGTATGCCACAGTTTGCAAACTTAGTATATGTAACTGTATTTATACTTACAGGCATACTTTTGTGCTAAGAATAATACTTTGTGTAAAACAAATTAATGCTTATTTGTAAAAAGAACCGATCAATAACATGAAACTCTTTAAACTCCATTATCGCAGTCCATATTGTTCTTAGTATAAATACTATTATCTATTATATTTTACTAATTAGGTATTTGGAATGTGGAAATCTTGAATATATTCCTTCGAAGATAGCAGAACACACACATGCGTACGTAACTGGAAACTTTATGTTCAGTTTAATATCAAGAATCATTGCAGGGAGACGTAACACTTGCAATGTACATACTATAAGAGGCATAACGCTGATGAGGACATTCTTGGCTTTCAATCATGTGTTTATAGGGCTGGCGACACAATGCAGCACAAGCAGGCCCGTATCCAAGGGGGGTTTTATGGTTCGGGAGAACCACCCCCCCCCTTTCCTAGCAAACCCTCCTTTTTTTTGCGAACCCCCTCTTCAAATTTCCCAAATAAGTCCTCCAACACAACTAATGCACTGCAGCACTGTACTGCAGCCATCGTTTGTTGATACGAATACAGCCGAAATATAGTTGCTATACTAACATAACTAGCACCAACTTAAGTTACTTTATTTAATATAAGCATTTACGTTGTTCGTTATTTTTTTAAATTTAGAATATGTGTCACTAACAAAACAGAACTCAATTTCTATGCCGATTATTATTCAAGTATGTATTTATATGGAATGACGTGTACTGGCTTAACATGTCACCCTTGTGGTCTTGGTTTATACGGAATGCTTGTAAGATCAGGTTGTTACACTTGTCCAGCAGGTAAATAAATAATGTCCAATTTATTGCAATTGTTATAAATAAAATTAATATGGGTATGTTCGAAAAATAAAACAAGAATATTATGACCATCATCATCATCATCATCATTATCAGCATCATCATCATCATCATCATCATCATCATCATCCTCATCATCATCATCATCATCATCATCATCATCATCATCATCATCATCTTCATCATAATCATCATCATCATCATCATCATCATCATCATCACTGTAGAAAATACGATGCTCTATTGGGTTCTTTTAATGCAGTTGTTATAATAATATGTTTTGATAATTATTTAGCTTTATCATTACTACTTATGCATTAACTGATTTTCAGGTGGTTTTTATCAAGACAATCGTGGATATGTTAAAAGTGGTAATTACAAAACCGACTGTAAACGATGTATAAATGGAACGTTTTCCCCTCATCCCGGAGGTACCTCAATATTTGCTTGCCAGTCATGTCCATCGGGAACCAACACAGATGTAATGGCAGAACTTGATGCATGTCCATGCTTAGAAAATTTTTATCGCACTTACCGTTACGGCGCATGTAAATCGTGCCCTGAAGGAGTTGACTGCTCAGGTGGTTACCAAAATTTAAGCGAGGGCTATGGGTGGTCGTGGAATTTTACACGTTATCCCAATCGTCTAGATGAGTACAGACAATTTGTCCATAATCTGACTACTTCCAATTTCGAACTTTCTGAACCTAATACTTTAAACTACACAGTGTACACTGGAGATTTCCCGGTGGCCCACAAGTGTCCACGAAGTGAGAGTTGTCTTGGTGGAATTGAAGCAAAGTGCTTGGAAGGTTATTCTGTTAATGTTTGGTTATGTGCTGAGTGCAGTGACAATTATTACGAATTATTCGACAAGTGTTACAAATGTCAGGATAAAGCAATCATGATAACTGTTCTGATATTGGTAATTTTGGCGATCGTATGTGTTTCATACTTAGTGTGGAGACTGGATAAACGAAGAGGCGAGACAATACGCAACGACTCTTTCGTGATTCATCTCAAAATCGCCATCAATTTCTATCAGGTTCTGGGTATTCTATCTGAAGTTAATGAAATACATTGGCCTGATTCGTTTCAATCTGTTGGAGAGAGTGTCCAGTATCTTGATATAATACGTTATATCAATATTCTTAGCCCAAGGTGTATATTTCCTGGAGTTTGGAATGCTTACACATTTTTGTATATTGCCATTGCAACACCATTCACTATTATTTTGTCAACATCTATCATCTTCCTCATCTGGAACCTTTACAAACGATACAAAGAGGATCACTATGTGCATCGCTTAACAGACACATTCTTGTCGATTACAATGATGTTGCTGTATTTGACCTATGCAAACACTTGCTCAAACATATTGGCGGTCGGACCGTGGTCAGTTCGTACGTTTAATGTTACAAAGGATGGTGATGAAAAACGAGTGTTAACTTCTGACTACTCTATCGATATCGATGAATCTAATGGTTCAAAATACGAGACTAACAGGAACATCGTTTATGGTTCGTTGGTGTATGTTATTGGTTTTCCACTTGCTATTATTCTGATATTGTACCGTAGATACACACGTCATGGTGAACGATCTGGTACCATGGGAATGAGGTTCTTCTGCAAGCAATATAGTCCAAAGTTTTGGTACTGGGAGGCAATTGATATGTACAGCAAGGCTATACTCGCCCTCATCGCTAACTTCAAGGACGATCAACCCTCCAACATGTCATATTCCCTCTTTATCACGGTCATCCTCATAGCATTGCATTTGTATCTTGAACCATTGGAGGAGAAGTCCGATCAGAAGTTCCAGTTGCTGACACTTGTCTTCATTATCGTCAACTTGTCGGTTGGCGCAATTGTTGACATTGAAGAGTCCGGGGAACATTCGGTGTACTCCACAGACGACACAATATCTGTGCTCCATGACATCACACCCTACATCCTTTTGCTGCTCAATCTGTCAATTCTGTTTGTAGTTTTTGGTAAGTTTTAATCTTTGCCTCTGGTTAGTATACTTGTATTGTATTTATTTATTTACAAAACTAAGCGTAGTTTATTAAAATATTGTTTTATCTAATTATAGTAAAATCAATCAATTTTGTTTTTGATAATTACAGTTGATCTACTTAAAAAAGTAAAGGAGAGCTTCTGGAGAAATTCGACTGGTTTAAAGGAACTCAGAAATGTTGCCAATGACTTGGAAGACCACGAGAATGATCGGAATCAACTTTCTCCATTACTTCAGGATTTCGACAGCTTATCGACTTGCAATCCCACGATTAATAACTAGTAGTTGTAAATGGCATATTAACGTTATAATCGTTTGCCATACAGTTTAGTATAATAATTACATCGATACTGAGCGGCCTTTAGCTGATAACAACGTAATTAAGACCTACAGTATAGTGCAACATTCGGTTTACAATAATGATGATGATGATGATGATGATGATGAATATTTTTAATGCGCCAGTATCTATCCGAGATGCTCATTGCGCAACGATACAACAATTAACTGGACGACATTAAATGTGTTCTAAGTTAATGAAGTTATAAAAATGTTGATATTTGTGCAATGTTAACATAGTCCGGTAGTTTGTTCCATGAGACGGCAGAGGTAATTAAGTGTTCCCCCAGGTTCTGTGAGTTCGAGGTTTAGCGTATACAAATGGTGTCATTAGAGCGCATGAGTTCATGTGTGCTCTGTAAAGCGTCCCAGTTCAGGCCCTGTCTCATTATCGTTTTTATAGTTTTGTTATAGGTTAAAAGATCTTTAAATTCAATCATGTGCTGCTCGGTGTACTGGGCAAGGTACTCATCGAATGCTTCACTCCATTCAGTTTCGGAAAGAGGCCTTGGTTTTTTAGCGACTAGGTGTAGCGTTAGCTGATTATGTAAGACTGAGAAATCGTATGAGTCAGTTTTGTTAGGGTACAGTAGTTGAAAAAAAAATCAACAATTTTTTTTCTCAAAATGTTCCGTTTCATCTTGTTGGGAATACTCGCAACTATCACCAACCCCCTGAAAGGAGAACGGGATACATTGAGTCTACTACATCAACCGTTTGTGATGTGAGGTCAATTAACGAGTTGTCTGTAGGAGAAAGATGTGAATGTGTAAGGGAAGTGTTTTGGATGTTACGATCTGGTGTACTGCTACTTTCCAGTAAAGACTGTTTCGAGGTACCCGTATCCGTTGGAGTAAGCATCTAGACGAGGTTGGCCACAGTAGTTACCAGCCTTGAAACTTGGTCTTGAAGAGCATCCATTGTTTTCTGCTTAAATACATTTTTCTTTTTGGGAGGGCAGTTGATTGAGCGGACTTTCTCTTCGCTTTAGGAATCCTGTTACAAATGAGAAACTGAGAAAACCATGGGTTAATGAGAAAATAAATAGGAGCTAGAATCCGAGTTCGCTGAAATGATATAAATACAGCACCTTGGTAATCAACGTGCAGTTTTGTATTTGAAATGTATGATAGGCACGAGGGGCAACGCGAATGTTGCCGAGTAGCGAATATCAATCAAATAACAGGGACCTGCAAATACAACTTGTAACGAGTGCCTGAGTGAATGTACGATAGGCACGAGGGGCAACATGAAAATGTTGCCAAGCAGCCAATTCTCTTTTAGAGAGCTCCAAATATCACTTGTAACGAGTGCCAGAATGAATTTATGAGAGGCTAGAGGGGCAACATGCGAATGTTGCCGAGCTGCGAATGTTCTCGTTAAACAGAGAGCTGCAGATAACCTGTAACCACTACCAGAATGAAAGGAAGCGTGGGTAATGTGGGAATGTTGCTGATCAGCGGAATCGCTATACCTTACATGTGGCATCCAGTGTTACGGTATGACCTATCCCTATGGTAACATCAGTGACATGTAAACCACACCCTCACTTATCGTGAAACAAATACATGTGGTTAAGTGACTAAGCTCATTACCATGTTAGGTACAGAACCCTATCTAGAACACGCTTATATAACCCATAACAAGGAGTAATCCGATTCATGGTATTAACAGATTTTGCATATAATTTCAAATCAATTTATTTTAAATAGTGAGTCTTTAAGTAGTTACTCGAACGTCATTGAAAAGGGCTTTGCGTAGAGAATTTTTATACCTTTTCTGTCCCAAGAGTTTATTTGGGTGTATTCCATCCTTAGACCATACCGATATTCGAACTTGCAAAAATCCTTTATGGACATGGTATGTCGAACGTGTGTCTACATCACAATGATCTGTTATTATATATTAAATAATTATGTGAACTTTCGTATTATATGCAGTATCGGTATCACTGAATAGAGCCGAACAGATGGTAGTGTGTCTTAGGCCTACTTGTGGTACTAGAATTTTGTGAACGATATCCATCAGCCGGTCAGCGGCAGTTAGTGGCTCCAAGGTATAAAATACATTACCCCCAATGTCTATGATAATAAAATCGGGCTTAATTAGTAATAACTAAGAAATATACTGCGACAGATTCCCAATTTTTAGTCCTAGAATAGTGTAATTTGTAAATTTTTAAGTGTTATTTAAACGAAATTTTAATTGTAATTTTCAGTAATTTACATATGATTATCGTAATTATAGCAATATCAATTATAATCATAGCAATAATAATAATAATAATAATAATAATAATAATAATAATAATTACCTTTTTATATCTTGTGATTTTATAGTATTGATTATATTTCTTGATGTTTATTGCAATTTTCGCCTGTAAGTGGAAACGAAGAGTTCCTGTTGGACGATTGTTATAAAATAAAATTAAAAAATAAATAAATAAAAAGCATACATAGTATTTGGCTTATAGCCTTGGAAAGTAACATGTAAGGTTGAACACTCACTGTTGTATGTAATGTGATCGCCCAAACCTGATACAAAACTATGACCTAGAATCGAGGTGGTATTAATTGCTTGAAAAAAAAGGGAAAACAAATAATGTCAACGAAAGATATAAACTGGATAGAGAACTAAATAAATGTAAATGTAAGTTACTGGCTTTACGCTCAGTTGATTAGTGATTTTTGGAAGTTATTGATATTAGTACCTTAAATATGATGCGTCTTCGTGATGCTGTAAGAAGCAAAGAGGATGAATTGTGGGATTGCTCCCGTATCAAAAATGCTATTGCCTTCTTCAATCGTTATCATCTTCTTCTTCCTCTTCCTCTTTGTCTTCGTCTTCGTCTTGTCTTCCTCTTCTTCTTCTTATTCTTATTTTTATTTTTATTATTCTTATTGATATTGTTATTATTGTTATTGATATTGTTATTGTTATTATTTTTGTTATTGTTATTGTTGTTGTTACTATTATTATTATTATTGTGATAGTAGTAATAATGATAATTAATTGAGTAATTGTGTTCGTTGTAAAGGTGGTTAAACAAGAGACTAGAGAAATCTATGTTAATTTTTAGCCAATTGTTTATATGTTTTTGTTTTTGGCAAACAAGTTGAAAGGATGATGTTTGCATAAAAATGGTGACTCAATTTATTTGATTTAACATATATCTTTAAAGTATAATCCAAATGATTCAATAGGAAGTCACACCATTCAGGTAATACTCACACCATCACATTCAAGGTGTGACCATCTACCCCTAAAGCAAACCACAATATTCAAGACAATCTAATATAAACTCAAACCGGCTAATGAATGCTAAAACCGATCAGTCATTAATTACTTAATTCGACGTCAAGACAAACATCTATTATTCACGTCTTTCAGTTAAAACATTTGGAATGGTTTGAATTTGGTGCGTTTAAATTGTTGTTGAATGGATTGTGTTTGGTATTATGGTATTTTTGGCGGACTTGGCTTTCCATAAAACGCACGCATACTTAACCTGAACAACCGTGTTCCGTGCGCGATGTGAACGCAGCGTTTAAAAAACGTAGCAACTCACAAGACCGGATCCGGGCTTGATGTGAACGTAGCTTTATAGTAATAATAATAATAATAATAATGAATTGATTGAGTAATTTTTTGTAAAGGTGGTTAACTTGACTAGAGAAATCCCCAGTTTCAAGTATGCTGAAATGAATGAAAGCATGATGCTCCTTGCTGCCTGTGTGGGACCCTGGCCCAACTTAAGTTACTCCCAGCAATTCGCAGGTACCAGTTTACACCTGGGTAAACTGAAACAATGTAGGTGAAGTGCCTTGCTTAAGGACACAAGCGAAATGCACAGGGAAGGTTTAAAACTCCAAGCCGTTCTACAACGCTTTAATCTTATTTTGCAAATCTCTTGATATAAGGAAACAAAAGTACTTGTGTAGTAAAACAAACCCACGGGGAGACAGAAGCCAAGACTCAATTCTTCGATCGACTTCTTGTTTCGTCGATTCATTATTTTGTATATTTATTAAGGTGCAACAATAAATAAATTGTATTTTGATACTCACAACAGTCGCTTTTTAAAGCTATTTCTTTTTAGTTTATTTAAATTGTATTACTAATTATTTGTCTTTTATAGCGCTTAACACAAAACTAGATTCAGAACAAAATCATAACGCAAGCAGAGATTAGTTTTCCAGTATTCTCTCGGCATTGCTTTCTGCAATAAGAATGACGGCTATACGTTGCAGAATATTTCTACTAATACTACTACTACTCAAGGATGTTTCAAGTCAGTTGGCATATGGAGACACCAGTTCGACTGCTGTTTGCCGCTGTAAAGCAAGTTTTGTTGAATGCACTGGACTGGGACTGGTTTCACTACCTGACGGTATTCCAGCGAATACCACATACCTGTAAGATTATTGATACTACATTTCAGCAGTAGCGTATCTAGGGTGCGCGAGGGGCGTATGCCCCTCTTCCACTATAAGGCTCGCTCTCCAGTTTGCCCCCACCCTCCACTGGAAACATTCGAAGCTGAGAAAGTGTTAACGTTGCGAAGATATAGCGATGATGGTATTAAAAAGTGCTAAGAGTATGGAAGGCATTTAACGTGACTTTTATTATTGCTTTTTTTTTATAAATCCGATTGTAAAACCATGCGCATGCGCTGCTAGCTAGGCATAGATCAGCATGTTCAGGTATGTAAACACTTGTAATTTCATTAGGCCAAAAAAAAAAAAAAATAAATAAATAAATAAAAAATAAAATAAGTTGTTTTCCCTCCTTCATCCGCCCCTAAAAAAAGGTATTTTTTAGCTTTTTTCTTTACTACAAATAAAAAAAAATGTGAGTGAATTTATTTTTATTTTTTGCCAGATGCCTTACAAATTAGTCAAAAGTTGTTGACTGATGTAATATATTGCCATTGTAGGCCTCTGTGGGTTATTTTTTTCAATGATTTTATGGCACTGACGATTTATCTAGGCCTTAGCCTTATACCTTTTAGGGCCTATTAATTATTCAAACAAGCTGCTTAATTCTATTTTAAATCAATACTGGGCCTAGGCCTGTGGCGTAACTATGCCTCCCTAGGCCTTTAAACGCACAGCACCGCCAACTTGGAGTATTTATAAGATTAAACAACTGCAGTGAAAATTCATGGTAAGTAGGCGAACTGAGGCGTACGAAAAGGCATGAATAAAAATGAAGAAGTACATAAGACCAAATGGTAGGCGGAGCATTAAAGTTTAAGGAATTGAACAATGTCAGGAAAAAAATGCATGAATAAAGATGAGATCAGAAGAATCAAAATGACAAAGTTAAATTAACATGTTGTAATTTATATATATATATAATGTGTATAAGAGACAGACCGTGTTCCGTGCGCGATGTGAACGCAGCGTTTAAAAAACGTAGCAACTCACAAGACCGGATCCGGGCTTGATGTGAACGTAGCTTTATAGTAATAATAATAATAATAATAATGAATTGATTGAGTAATTTTTTGTAAAGGTGGTTAACTTGACTAGAGAAATCCCCAGTTTCAAGTATGCTGAAATGAATGAAAGCATGATGCTCCTTGCTGCCTGTGTGGGAAGCACAGATACATTACATCAAAACAGCAACGATAAAAATGTGAATCAAGGTATAATAATAGTAATAACAACATTATACTAGCAATGATTATAAAATTGTACCAAAAAACGTCACAAAAAGGAAGCCAAGCCTGAAAAATTTAAACTGTAGCCTCAAGACAGAAAGCCCGAATTGGAACCGGCATCATGCTGCGTTCAGCTGTAAATGTAGGCGTGATCAAATGGCATTAAGAAGTTTGGTCATTGCTGGGACTATTACTGAAACTTTTGGTTTTACATATAACTCTGATAGGTAGCTGTATGTCGTAGAGGCATATGGTGAGCACGTCTACTAAGTGGGAACCATGGTTTGAAACGATCTGTTTGGGTGCATCTTGGCTGGCCAATAGAGTTTTGTTGTTTCATAATTCATAATTCATAATTTTATTTCACTCAAAAGTCTGGTAACCAAAAAGGGAACATGTCCCAGTACAAGATGTCTACCAGAGAAACATTGATAAAAGTAAAAACATAATAATAATAATAAAAATAACAACAACAATTATAACAATAATAATAATAATAATAATAATAATAATAATAATAATAATAATAATAATAATAATATTAATAATAATAATAATAATAATAATAATAATAATAATAATAATAATAATAATAATAATAATAATAATAACAAGAAAAATTATATATAAAAGAAAAAAAAAATTAAAAAAATCCATTCACTATTATTGTGTCAACATCTATCATCTTTCTCCGGAGGACACTGGGTGTACACCACAGATGCCACAATATCTGTGCTCCATGACATCACACCCTTCATCCTTCTGCTGCTCAATCTCTCAATTCTGTTTGTAGTTTTTGGTAAGTTTTAATTTTCTTGAAAATTTTCATTAGTACTTGCATTTATTTATTTTTTTTATAAAACCAAGTAAATTAACATCATTAGTTATCAAATGATAATAAAATCAATCACTTTTCTTTGTGCGATAATTAAAGTTGATCTGCTTATAAAAGTCAAGTATAGTTTCTGGGGAAAATCGGCTAGTTTACAGGAACTCAGAAATGTTGCACATGACGTGAAAGACAACGAGGATGATCGGGATGAACTTTCTCCAATAGTTCAAGATTTCGAAGGCTTATCAACCTACAATCCCACAATTAATAACTAGTAGTTGTAAAAAAGCATATCAACGTTATTATCGTTTACCATACAATTTAGTAATTATATGGTAATGGACTTCCACTTCAATAGCACATAATACAATACAGTGCAATGTCTATATGCGCTCTTTACCCAGTGTCAAGACCAGACAAAGAATACATAAAACAGGAACAGAGAAAATTAGAATTGTAAAAACATATGAGATTTAACTCGGGACTAAAGATGAAGATTTATAACAATAAACTATAGAAATACATTATAATACATGTATACAGCCCCTATTTGATTTAATAGGGATATCGTTTTAACGATTTAAAGACACGTGGTTAGGTACCGCGAGCAACTTCATTTTTCTCTACAAAGTAATGTTATCATATCTCTCTTTTAACCTAAAACTCGAAGAATCGGTTTTTACCCAAAACCACAAAGAACCGTTCTTAAAAAGTACGGTTCTTAAGAACGGGGTTTTCTCTTCTGTAGAAAAAGTCCAATACACGTCATTGTTTGTTGCAGCAAGTTTTGTCCATGTAACAGTCGGAATGTTCAGAACGTACTGTTTATGGTTTTAATCTCAATAATCAATTAATTTAGTAAATATACACTTGCGTGTCGTTTGTTGATGACGATTGACCTTGATACGGGCATGCGCAGCTAGAACTACGAATTGGCTTATTGAAAATTGGGGCAATAAATTTCTATATATTATTTGGATCATGACTCAATTCAATGACTTAAATTTGCTTTTAAATTATTTATGGATTTTCCTGTTAGTTTAGCAATTGCGTTAGTTAATTTTTCGTTTTAAGTTGACATCATTCGATAAGTAGGTAATAGAAATCTGACTCTCAGTGAAACATTGCTCTTTAAAATAAAGGTACCTTATCAGTTATACGAAAAAATATTACTATTTGTATTGTATATATTACATGTTCAGAATAAGGAAATGTTCTATTGACAGGTCATGTCAAATACGATGTTTATACTTTTATTTAATTTGGAAAATACTTCTACCATAATTTGATAATTTAGACGGGGCATATTTAAAAAAAATTGACATGAAAGCCTAATACGATCTTTATTGTTAGTTTGTTTGATCACCAAGAATAATGATAAAATACATTGTTTAAAATAAAATATTGTTGGAATTTTTCTCAACATAAATTAGTGTACATATTTAAACGTATGATAGACATATCGCTAGAGTTAGCATTCCTGTATAAGGTTCTATCTTAGCTATAATTAAGCCAAGTAAATATTATTAACGCTTTTTTAACTAAAATGTAATTAAAGGTAATTAAAGTAACTTCATTTGATTATTGGATATTGCGTTTGTTGTTTAAAAAATGTGCTTATCTTCATTTTGTTGGTATTTACCAATAATCTATTCATTAACTTATATGCCTACTAGACTAAAATAATGTATCATCTTGCTTGAAATTGTTTGTTATATCAGGGACTTACGTCTTTGGTAATATTGTACAACAGCAGTATATCGGCTATGACATTGTGCTTTAGATTTTAGCTGCAAATTAAGTGTATGGAAATTTGTTTTTGTACTTAGTCATACATGCTGTTATGACTACTGTTAACTGTTTTTATTTTTTAATTAATGTTTCAATGAAAAAAAAAGCAACATGAATTCACCAAATTCATGTTAAAAGAAGAAGACATTACAAGGGAAAATTTAATAAGTATGATAACTAAGCAATAATAATATATCAACTATTCAAGCCTCATTCCAATTTGAAATTTCCAGCAAAAATGCATACGCGTTATTCTACTTATTATAAACCAGGTCATTTATTGGCATAATTTTTGTTTGACGCTAAAGGAGAATTGAAAAAGAGAAACTGAGACTCTATTTCTCATAATGTTTTTGACGACTTCTTTTCTACGCAAATTCAGTGGTTGTATATTGCATCTGCTGGCATGGTCTCGCCAGCTGATTTTTGTGCATACAGTCAAGCGTCCGGGGTAAGGAGACCGTGGCGCTTTGAAAGAGGGGCGCGTTGAAACATCTCAATAAATCTCTGATAGGCCTACTAACAAATTGTTTAAATTATCTGAATGCTCTGGCAGCCTATAGACATAAACAAGCTATATATTAAAAATTAGTGCGATCCGACCAGTAAGTAAAGAAATAAAGGTTAAAGGTCAAAGGTTATTCATTTATATTGCGCAAATTACGAGATTCTCTATGCGCAGAATAAGTGAGCAGATGTAACTGGAAAAAAGCAGGGATCTCTCAAAATGTACCCTGTCCAACAGCAGTTGAGTCTCGGCCATCCCATTCTCACGCGCCTCCTATCCTGATAGAACTACTAAAAAATCTAGCTGGCAAAGGATGGAAAAGGGAAAATCAAAGAAAACGAAATAAGTGAGTTTTTAAATGAGATTTAAACAGAGAGACGGATGGCGACTCACGAATACATAACGGTAGAGTATTCCATAATTTAGGAGCAGCATCCATGAATGAACGCTCCCCACACGACTTTAACCTGCAGGGTGGACTATTAAGTGTAGTCAAATTGGATGTTGATCTGAGGGTACGAGCACATGTTGAGGAGCAAGACATAAGCTGGCGTCACACGGTCAGATTTGCACAAAAATTTTGGTACAGTTTTTCATTTTGACAGGAGTAGGTAGACACTTGATATTCCCTAGGCACACTGTTAAATTGTTTATATATAACTTGTCAGCCCATAATAATTTTAGGGACAATCTCTATTAAGGCCAAGTAAAATTAGGCCACTTGATATTCCAACACCCAGACGTTTTTAGTTTATGTTCAATATGGATGTAAATTTGTTAGTTACTGTGGTCAGTTTTGTATATTTGGTAAATGAAATGGAAAAGAAAAAGAAGGTTAAGAGATTAAAAAAAAACAAAACAAACACGTACTTGGGTTAGGCCGTTGATTCACAAACGAAATAAATATTTAGCATATCATGGTCTATTAAAAGAGTTGAATGCTGGCGATAAGGGAGAATACAATAACTTTCTCCGAATGGATAAGTCGTCCTTTGATGATATTTTGCAAAAAACTCTTCCTCTTGATAGCACTCAATTAAATCTGTGGAGATTTTTTTTTTGGCATTTTTTTGTATTTTCTTCTATATCTATGCAGATCCCTACCATTTCCTAAAGGTCTAAACTTTCTGCGCTGCGATTGGCTGTTGATTTTCAAATGTCGTCAAATACTTGTAGAAAATAGGACATGGTATATTCCTTTCCCTTCACTTTGGACACCCAAGGGAACCATAGGTTAAAGCAAAGTTCGTAGTAAAATCACAGACTTGGAACGCAAATCAGGTAAGCCTCATTAATCATTTTTGCACTGGATGAATATTTGAAGTCAAAAACTGACCGTGTGACGCCAGCTTTATAAGTTGAGAAATGTATTTAGAAGATAACTGATGAATGGATTTGTAAACAAACAATAACATTTTGAAATCAATACGCTTCTTCACGTGCAACCAATGAAGATGACGGAGTACTGGTGTGATGTATGTTGACGTTTAGGTGTTCCAGTAACCAACCGAGCAGCGATGTTAATTAGCAGCTGAAGCTTATTAATTGAGGATTGAGGCAGTCCGTAGAGGACCACATTACAAAAATCCAATATGGATGTTACTAAGGTTTGTACAAGTTTAGAAGCAGCATCTTCGTTCGAAATATCGTTATTTATCGATTATAACACCTGGTAAGTAACTATTATCGATATAACTTTATTATAAATAACACCTAGAATATATAGTTTACTATTTTGATGATAAATATATTTTAAAAAAGTCATGTTAATGCTTGTTTATTCACAGTATTGTTTTTGGCCATGTGAGTCGCCATTACGAGACACAAAGGCCGATAGTGCATTCGGAGTACGTTGAAACACCGTGCACCCTATATCATGGTATAATGTAATGTAATTTAATTGTTTAATATTTTCTGTCACATAAAATTAAGTGGTATCACGATAATCGTATTAAACATACAAAATATTCAGAATATAATTAAATATTATCATCATTGTGCTTTCTGTATGTTAATTTAAATATTGTACGGTAATACATCAGATAGATTCATCACCATCCGGAACAGGCCACCGAAAAATGAGAGGTTGATTATCCCGAGTTATTAAAGCGAGCAGCCCCAGTGTAGTACTTTTATTAAGAGAAGAAGTGTGTTCGGTTGTAGCAGCCGATTTTGATGGTGTAATTAGGTCCTTTGGTGAACAAATTTGAATAAAGTATACAACTGATACTATTCCATTTATTAGAATGGACATAACATTAGCGTATAGGCCAATATCTGCTAACCAATTACTATTCATATTTCAAGCCTGTATTTCTAAAAATATAATATAATATGTCATACATAGGATTACGAGATACATGATAAGTCGTATAGTAGAGATGTGGGTTAACCACATTTCTATAATTGCACAAGTAATTTAAATTGTTTATTGAGCAAATTAATCTTACTGATAAACAATTGTACTACATTGAGCTGGTGCATATGATCGTCTATTTACGAGACATAATTTCGTTATTTTCTTTCCAAAAAAAAAGTAATAAACGTTAACTAGCACCTCATATCAACTTTTGAATGGTGAAAGTAAGCTCAGTATAACCCATTTTACCGAGTATAAAATTTAAGTTAGTAGAACATACTGCTGTTCTCTTACCCCCCTCCCCACTGTTGTATTTAGGTGGTACACGTTACAGTACACAGAATGAGCCTGAGTTAACGCATGAATGGTTTTAAGTACCTTCTTAGGACTTTTTCCTACCCCACATCTCTATCTAATTTTGCTGAGAGTTTTACATGAACAATTTTGTGTAACTTTTGGTATCTGCGCATGACATGTTTTCATTGCAGGATTTATGTGTTGAGAAGTTGAGCATAATCTCGACTGACTAAATCCCAATTGTTACAATATTTTCATGTATTAAGAAGTTATTAACATTTCACTGGGAAAGAAATTAATACTTTATAGTTAACTTTTCCAAATATTTTTTGTTATTTCCTAATAATTGTTTTTATTGGAGGGTAACCCAGATGTGTGCACTGTTTTACACTGGGCCGCTTATCATCACAATACATCACAAAAAAAAAATATTGAAGGAAATAAAACTGCAGAAAACTCAAAAAGTCTATTGAGTGAAAATAAGTAAACATTATTTCGAAAAAACAGCCTTCTAAAGGTATTTGTGAATACATTCTTTACTGGAATTAACTACCAAAATAATGTTAATAATTGTTTGTTGACCATTCCCACAACTAGACATTGGGACATGATTAATTGATAGCAAGCTATATTAAATGATCTACCGTGACAATAATGTAAAGTGTGCTGCAAATAGAAACATAAAATCCAAAAACAGATGAGCATAATATAGGTACATAAAAAGAAAATGACAATAACATATACAATAATAACATGCACACACACACACCCCCACCCACACTCACACACACACACACACACAAAACAAAACATAAACTAAGGTCAGCATAAGTACTGTACGTATATAGAGTAGACTATACACAAAATTAAATAAATATATAAATAAATGAAACGTTTCTCTTGTTTACTATAATACATGTTGCCGTTATAATTTGTTTCATGATGGAGTTACTAGAATTACCATTCATATAACACTATGCTTAGAGATATTGAGGGATGAAAGTAGTAACATCAGGTGTAACTCGAAAAATATAGGCCTAAGTCGTATTACTACCTAAAAATGGAAAATAAAATAACATTTGGGCATGATCATCTGAAAGGCTAGGTAGGCATAACATCAAACCTTGGCCAGCTAAGATTTGTGCATAATACATAGGTCTCTATGTCCTAAAAATTTGCTAATCAGAACAACTACTTATTATTATAGCAATATATCCTGGCCCACAAACAATTGCATCTTCTTCAAAACTGTAAAAATCAAAAGCAGGTCCAGGATTTTTCAAACGATGTCCTACCTAGCCTTTCATCTGAAAGGCTAGGTAGGCATAACATCAAACCTTGGCCAGCTAAGATTTGTGCATAATACATAGGTCTCTATGTCCTAAAAATTTGCTAATCAGAGGCGGCTAGACTTATCGAGTTTGCAAAGATATTCTTTGCTATCAAACCTTCTTTAAGAAAGAGAATTCAAGGTAGGCAGTATGCAAATGAATCATATATTCATAGTGTTAATCTATTTTATGGAACATAGCGGAGAAATTGTTGTAAAAGCCTGTGTATTTCGCTCCCAAAGGAAGAGGAAAAATCTGCATTCAGTCAACCTTATTGTCGGCAAAGGCCAAGGCACTGATGCGCACTGCTCATGTAAATCTGGGTACCTATCTAGGCCTAGGCTAACGTATGTTTTGCTTTTAAACCAGCTGTCTAAGGAATTAAATGTCCGAGAAAAAATTTTTGATCACGTGACTAAATGGCGCTCGCAGATTAGTAAGTTTATCTGTCAATCAACTCTCGTGGAGACGTTAATTGCGTGGTCTTTTGTTGTACTTTATTTACTGATTCTGTTTGCGTCTGGACGGTGTGTATTTTAGGAATCTAAACAAATCTTTGGAAGCCTCAATGAACACGATGAATTGGTATTGTTTAACAAAATGAGGATGTGAAACTTCTAAATACAGACTAGGCTATTTTACTCCAATCTGCCGTTATTGAACGTTTTGTAGTTTATCAATCCGTACCCTATTTTGTTCACCATTTATTGATGTCTTTAACGTTAAATGCGACTAAAGAATGAGTGTTCTACGTTGGACAACACTCCTACTACTCGTGAAATTTTCCAGCCAGTCAGCATGTGGAGACACCCACTCGACGGGCGATTGTAATTGCCAGTGGCATTTAGATGGTACTTGGGTAGTTTATTGTACGGGACGTGGACTTAGTGAATTACCCGAAGGCATACCGGTGAACACCACGTATCTGTAAGTGTTTCGATGTTTATCCGCCTTTTTGGAAAACACTTAGATTTAATAATGAAATAATTATACTTTATTATCCAGTACTTTCGAAACCTTACTAACACTTATATTGCTCATTACAAGTTAATCGTGACGTCATCACTACAACTCCCGATGTTATTTGCATAACCCCCACAGTCCACTAAATTTTCAGTTAGTGGACGCTTGGCTTGATTTTTTTAGGTTCGTGTGCAAAAAAAGAAAAAGCCCCTGTTGTGGACAGAAAAGGGTAGCTGGTACCGGTTTACCAGGTAGCTCAGACAGGATGAGACCCTTAGGAAAGAAGAAAGTTACTGTGCGAGCTAGTCCACAGCGCTTAGAGACTCTGGTATAAAGCGCTATGTAAATCGATCTACATTACATTACATGGCGCACTGCAATAAAATTGAAAATTACTTTCGTAAAACAAACTTAATTATGACCCGAAGAAAGTTACTTCAAATTCAATATTAAGTATGAACAAATAAGGAATTCATTGAATCAGTGGACCCTCATAAACAAAACAAACTGAACGTTTAATAGGAATATTCTAGAGCTATTTTAAAGACTCAAGGAACAAATTTAGATACTGGCCTACGGGCAGGCGTGAAGGCCGCCGAGGCCTTTTAAAGTTCAGGACTGTATTCTCTCTCGAATGCTGAAATGATTATTTCTTTGACGAATGTCGACCAAAACAGCATTACAAAAAAGTTCTTTAACACAATGAAAATTACAAGATATAATCATCGTTTCCGTACTGTACCTGCTGATTTGTAGTTAACGCGTACTCGGGCACGTATGCAGGAGCACAAATCAGCATACGCACAGCTAAATGTAAATACACACAGAGAATACTGATTTATCACTATAGCAACACTTCGTTATGAAACAAACTAAAATTAAAAGATGGCGATTGACTTATAAAGCAATTTGTAGAGCTCCACATAGTACACTATAGGAAAATTATTATACTTAGGTTAGACTTAATGCATTCAAAACAATTCTTCCGGACTTGCAGGATCTCATGAATTTTGTTCAAGCATTAAATCTAATCTTCGTATGATAATTTTTCAATAGTGACATAGGGTACCTTTCGCCTACTAAGCAATAAGTAGAGCTCCGAATAGTAGAGCTCATGCGGAGCTCTACTGATTGCTTAGTAGGCAAAAGGTACCCCATGTCACGTACAGGTTTGTCATTACATGTTCGGTCAGTCATTCGTCCCCCTGTACCTAGGTCCTAAACTCAAATAGAATTTAGGCATTGGAGTAATGTGAATAAACTTTAGATTTTTGGAAAGAAAGAAAAAAGAAAAGACTTTTTTTGTCAGAATTCACTATCAACGTTAGGTAAGTCATTTTCATATAGCACACATCTCTTTGACCCTGGCTATCGAATAATAGGTTCTGATGAGTATTATTGTTTATCCCTGTATTAGCAGAAAAGCCATTGTGTTGCTCAGATTTTTAAATTGAAGATGTGCAAATATAAATATGAAGTCATCTACATATTTCGAATATTAGGTTAAACTTTTCGTTTTGTATTTTATGCGGCCTCAAACTAGCTACATATGTGAAAAAACACAAACTTATCGTGAAATACTGCCGATTTTAAGCTATCAGTTTCGGTGACAAATATAATGCTGATACACTTCTATACTGGTGTCGGCACCAGCCATCAATCATCTGATTACAATCCAATAATCAGAGTCGGTGACGGCATCATGAATGGTGATGTCACCGA